TAGAAGAAAAGGGGAAAGGGGGAAAAAGTAGGAGGGGAAAGAGAGGCAAGTATCTCACTTATAGACCAAAAACCATCCTAACTCCTCTTTACAACTGTCACCTGGCATTGCCGGCAAGGACATCCAATTTCTCCCTCCTGCTTTAAGCATTGGAATTGGCATCACGAAGGCTTGGCCACCTCGGCCCACAGAGCGGGTGGGACAGGCTCTCCTCTCCCAGGGCGCCCACGTTGACTGAGCGACGCCAAAGCCATAAGGCAGCGCTTGCCAAAGCGAGAGCTTCCCCAAGGTGCCAGTGGGGGACCACGCTCGTGGCGCCTCGCTGCTAAAGCCAGACCCCGTCGCCGGCAGCCATTTGCCACTCGGCTTCCACCTCGGCTGGACACATTCCTGCCTCCCGCCCCTTCCAGCTCGTAGCGACGCCACTGCCTTCTGACACGAACACATTGTAGGGCTCTACAAACACGGAGGATACCTGACATGGCAGAGCCCATGCAAAAGGGGAATTAGAGCGGGCTCTGCCACAGCAGAACCTCCCTTGTTTGGAGGGGAGAGGAGGAAAAAAAAAAAAAAAAACACATTCTACAATTCCTTTGTAAAGGCAACATTTCTGCTGACAGGCAGGTCCACAAAAGCCCCACAGCTGAATCCCGTTTTCAGGGGCAGCCCCGCTCAGCAGCCCTCCCCTGTCCCCCCGTCCTTCCCGCCCCACAGCGCTGCTCACAGTCCCGCCAGCACACTCAGTGCCTCCTCAGGGAGCTCCTCTGGGCTAACACCATCTTCTGTTTTAATTCTATTATTTTAACCCGGCTCAGTTCCCCGTGCAGTTCGCGCACAGGCCGCTGTGCCCACACAAGCCAGGGGACGGCGCCGACGTGTGAGCAAACAGCTGGAGCGTGTGGGACGCTGCTAGGAAAAGTGATTGCCACGCTGCAGCGCAAGGCTCAGCTGGGCGCGCTCTTAAGTAATCAAATATTCAAAACCAGAGCAAAAGATGTTATTAGGGTATCCCAATACAAGTGTTAGCAGCTGTTGACACTGTGGCGGGACCGCAGGAAGGTACAGCCCATCAGGGCTGCAGCAGGTGAGCAGGAGCACAAACCTCCTCAGGGTGCCCTCTGCTCCGTGTAAACCCCTGCACTCCAGGGCTGCATCACAGCAAGCAAAAAGCTCCTCTACCAGGGACACACTGGGAGCACACGGCTTCCCTGGCAGGGACACGTTGGAGCTCCTCGTCATGGAGCCCTCCTGCTTGCACAACCTTTCGTTCCTGCGCAACGTAGAGAGCCGCGCGTGAGACACCGGGCTTGTGTTTCCTGTGCTTTGAAAACCAAACACCAAGATCAATTCAGCCAAGCCAGGAGAGGAGAGAGGGTTATCTAGGAATGTCCCTGCCAGCTGCATATATCCCATCCATTCATCTTAAAGCTTCAATTTCCACTTTTTGCGGGAAGGAAATAAACAGCGAGCATCCTGTCCAATCACCACCCGAAGGCAGGGTTACTCACTTGAGAACATCATCCCTCTTCCCCATTTTTTCTTAATACCAGTTTATTGGAAGCCCAGTTCTGATTTTATATCTTAGTCCTCTATGACTAAACTTTTATTCTCGATTGAAAAAAAAAAAGGCAAAAAGTCTCAGAGTATTCATTTTTTACTGACTCAAAGTTGTACCAAAAATGCTCAGATTTTCTCCATAGTCCACATTCCTGTTATATTCGGGTAAAAGAGACCTCTTTTAGCAGCACTGGCAGCAATAAATTGAATTTTGAATAAGTCATTTTCTCCTCAGAGCAGCATTTTACCCCCACATGGTGCCTTACAAAGGATCACAGGGAACCTCCTCCTCCCCCCCGGGTCAATTAGCCAGCTTTGGAAGCAGCTCCAAGCGCGCACTGAGGCTAATATTTATTTTTACCTAAGTAATACCTCAGCTCCACAGTTTCATTTAAAAAAAAGTAGGGGGATCTTACAGGGGGGAAAAAGCCCTAAATTAGTCAAATTCTTTTGTGCATGGATGAACAACAGGAAAGCAAAGCCTTGGGGCCTCTGGGGAGGAACCCTGTCCCTGCAGACCTACTCTGATGTGCTCGTGAGATAAGGCTCCATAGTGACACTTAAGGAAAGGCCTGCTCACATTTGAATTTCTGCATTCCTCAAGAACAATTCATGGCAATCACTAACTTTGCAGAGGAGCTACATAAAAGCTTTGGCCAATGAATGAGGGTCATCTGCTCTTTATCACAAGGGTAAACCTCATCCTGGCCAGTTTCTAACCTTTTAACCCTGTGAATTCTTAATTTGCACATGAATAATGGAATTCTTGCCAAGAGTGCAACCTTCAGCTTCCAGTTCCTAACTTTAGAAACCAAGACCTGATCTCCTTGTGTGCTCACATCTTAAACTCTTCGACAGATTAAAGTTTTTGGTTTCCAAATGCCACACTAAACATTACAATTCCGAAGCAGAAGATAAGCTTATGGCAAAAGCTCTGACCACGCAAAGTAAAAGCACATCCTCACACCCTGCTGCTCCCAGAGACTGGAGAGCATTTGCTTTTTTTTCTCCAAAGAAAGAATGCCCATTTAATGCCTATTCTCCACCTGTTTAATATGTATAGTTTCTTCTGTACCCTGGCCACAAGGTAATTTCCCTCTACAGCAATGGACAACAGACTCTAAACAAAATCATAAGCCTAAAAAAATCTTCACAAGACCTCAGCTGCCTTCATTTGAAATAGCTGCAAAGATCAATCATATCATGGTAAGAGGGAGAACAACTGCAAAAAGAAAAAAATATATATATATGTATATAAAATTGATTTTGCATCTCTCTCTTGTGGGCTTCAAAATATAGCTATATTAATCACTGCCTTATTTCAATATTACAAAAAAGACGTAATACTTCTGAGCCCAATCAGACTGGGGTAGGACCAAAAGGAAGAGGCTGCCACACAAACTAACTTCACATTTGGTCACTATTTAACTACTTAATCTCTAAGTCAGCAACACCTTCTGTGATCATGATAGATCCACTATCTCTTTTGAGTTTTCTCCAACAGAAATAGGAAACCTCTCCCCCCACCTCCCTACTTTGAATCCTTAAAAGAAGAGAAACCTTTTGTCACAGTCTTGCAGGGAAAAAATAAAAAATAAAAATAAAAGTAGCACAGAGGCGGCAAAACAAGAATGTCATTCCACAGCATGTAGTCCACTGGTCACAACTCTCTTTTTGTGTGTGTGGGGGAAAATAAATAAATAAAATCTTAAACGTTTATTGCCCATACACACCCCCAAAACAAAAACGAACAGCTTTCTGGTGAAATGAAGTTTATAGGACCAACAGTAAGGAAAGTTCAGCAAGGCCTGAACGAAAGCAGACGGCACAGGTCTGTTAGGCTGCTCTACCGCCCCAGCGCCCTGCGCTGTTCCAGAAGCTCCCGGATATCTAGAACACCTAGAACACAGACCTCATCCTGTAGCCCCACGTACCACATGTCCCTCGCTCCTCTCCGCTCGCTTTTACACACAGACTCTATCCTTCACTGTGCTGCTATATATTTTTTTAAAACTCTCCTCTTAAGAAAGGCTTTCTTCAGTGTGTTTATTACAGGTGCAGACACTAGGAAACCTGATGACAACTTCTTCAGTGTGAGCCTTATTAATGCACCATTTCCTAGTGTTCTCTCAGAAATACCGAAGAACAGCCAGGTCTGTTCATCCTAAGAAGCTGTCCACCCACAAGATGCTACAGTACGAAGTGATAAATAGCCAGTGCTTAGTAATGGAGAAGTCACAAGTCTGCCTCTCACATGAAAGCTCATGTCCTGCTCAGAGCCACCTGCTTCCAGAGGGGTTTTTGGCTGCTCAAAGCTCTGCCTCCCTGAGCAAGGCATTTCACACCTTCCTCCGGCACCTCACGGATGGTTATTATAACCTGTTCGGACACACGCAGTGCACTGACACTCAGACACTTTCAGTGAGATCAAATGTGCCAACCGCACCAAGTAGTTTCAGCTCCAGTTCCCCAACATCAAGCTCACGTTGAGTTTCCATCGAGGTGCCACAGCTCAGCGCAACTTGCAAGCAAGAATAAAGTTGAAGAGTCAAAGGAAACCCTCCTATTAGATTAGTCCTACTAGACATGGAACACCACAGGACAACCTAAATTGTGGTAAACTCCTTTAAAACGTCCCCATTTTTCATTGTGCAACCAGCCTGCATGCAAAACCCAATGGCACCTGCACGGCCAGAGCACTGGGATTCTACACACATGCCTCGTTCCCACGTTAAAGGATGTTAAAGGACGCTGGGAGGAGAGTGGGCAAGGCCTGATCTGGTGAGGCCTCGAGGGCGCAAAGCAGCCATCCCACTCACCAGTGCTGCAGCTGTGCGTACCAGCACTGCCTGCAGTTGGACTCGCAGCTCCCTGAGCACCGCACAACAGACCCTTGGGCCAGGTAATGAGTACCATGAAACAGTTTCCCAAGGAGTGGGGCCCATTTCTCAAAGGAGCAGCAGCAGATGAGCAAGAACTTGGTGATGTAGCCCTGAGCAGACCAGGAGCTCTCTCCCCCTCCCAAGGGCAGTGGTCCCTTCTACCGAACACTCCAGTAGCTGCAGCCCCAAGAGCAACCAACACAACATCAAGCTCCTGACAAGGGGAAAAATAAAAGATTTTCTTTTTGGATTAAGTTTGAAGATAACCCCTGCAAGGCTGCAAGAACAGTGCTTCAAGAACATGAGTAACGTCACACACACCATCCACCTCAGCAGCTCAGCCCGTGTCACCGCCCCACGCCCAGGGACTGGCCCACAAGGTGCCCGGCCATCGGACGGGTCTCGCTCGGAACCCAGACACACCAAGCAGGATGCGAGCAATCAGCAGAAGCGACCTCCCCTCCACTGTTACAATTTGCCTGCCGAGACATGCAACCAAAACAAGAGGCTGCCGCGTGCTGACCGGGGAATCACTGCCCGGATGGGGGAGCTGGGACTTACTTGCTATCGTAAGGTGACTTTTCTGGCTGAGAATGGCCCCATGCTTGTTCAGAGCTAAGCACTGGTAAAATCCTTCATCCGACGGCTCCCCTTTCCTGCCTTCCACCTCGCTGATGTACAGAGAGCCGTTGGACAAGGTGTAGATCCGCTCATTTTCAGGCACTTTGCCTCCATTTTTCAGCCACGTAACAGTGATGGGAGCTTCACCGCGGGCCTGGCAGTCCAGGACCACCGAATCCTTGCGGGGGACAGTCACATCCTGGGGCTCCCTCAGGAAGAAGAGCTCGCTAAAGCACCAAACTCCTGAGGGGAGAGCAGAGAAGATGCTGCGGTGAGCACCGCAATGAAGGTACTCACAGCCCATGAGTAGCGTGTGGGAGCCCGGCAAGGGGCAACACTCCTCGTTGAGACCCAGGACCCTAAATCTGAAGCCCAGGGCCGGGCCCACGCTGCCCTCACACCCTGGGCGCAACCCCCGCGTCGGGAGAGC